CCTACTATTCTGTGGGCGCAAAATGACAGGGAACTCAGACTGTAAATTAATTGTGGCTCTGTTCTGCGGGGGCATAACGGCAGGGAACATGCTCTTAGTACAATGTCACGTTATTTTGTTCGACTGGGGACACAATGACCGGGAGCAACTAATATTGTTGTCCGACTCGGCAGTAAAACTGTTCTGACAGTAAGTTACAAATTGGAACTCCAGTGTCCAAGTCTTTCATGCATGCTATGTGGCAATAATAATGTACATTATGCAGCAATTTAAGAGTGATTTCATGAAAATTATGCAATGCATAAGTCTGTGCCTTGTGCAACAAATTATGGCATAAATTATGCAATCATTTTAGGTGGCTTGAACTGCAACGAACAAAGTGAAAATAAACGTTTGACTGACTCATCATGTCCGGTTAAGGCTCATCATTGCTGAACTCAATAAGGTTTATATGAGAAACGTACAACTTTGTTTACGAGGTAACAAAGAACTTGCTTTGCTGTGACATAACTTCCATATTTTCTGTTGGTTATGACAAAGAAAGAAAAACTTTTCAAAAATGGTGAGCAGAGTTAATTTTATGACTGTTTGATGACTGCTTAATATTGCAAAGAAACAGCCATTCTAAAAGCCTTTATGGTTATTCAAGATATTTAACATAATTATAACGTTGCACAGTTAAGCAACTTTTTGTGAAATTGAACTTAAGTATATTGTGCAGCTACATGTACATGTATGGCATAAATTTGTGACACAAGGATTCGGAAAGGTTCAAAGTTATGCCATGCTTTGTGAAATCAGCCACAGGGCATTTGGTTCATAACAACTTATTGTAAGTTTTGAAATAACAGTGAAAAGTTGTTTTACCTGTTCCAGATATCAGAACTGCCACTTTTAGCTTGTCCATGCCATCAGTTTGTTGTTTGCTGTTGTCGGTTACACAGTAGCAGGATGCAAGTGATGATGCTAAGCCACACACTGTCACAGCGGCATGACCTTAGATGTGAAATACAATTATAAACATGCATGTGGTTGAAAACAACCCAAAAAATATCTCATAAGCATCTAAACTCATTCATTCTATCAACCAGTATGTCTTCAAGCATTCAAGCCTTCCAAACCTGGTGTTTTAGTACTGTTCTTTCGCTTGAGAGAAAAGTACATACTTTGAATGAGGGAAGAATTGGGATGCAGTACTGAAAGGAAATTGTAGTAGAATTAAATTTGCAAGTATTGTCTGTTATTTCGTGTAAGGTGAAGCTGTATGCATGGATGCACACCTAAACACATTTTGCAAAGGAGCATAGAGTACTGATAACCAACATGTATGGACATGTACGTGGCGAGACATCAAAAATGTTTTGACAATTCAGATGTGTCCAGACACATGAAATGGGCCTTTTGTTCTATTAATCCCCATTCACATATGTGCAAACAGTACATTCCAGATCTGTTCACATAAACACAGGACCGTGCACAAGGGCTCGCAAGCAAGGCCTACTACATGGAAATATCCAAAGAAAAATGTTTGTTTTTAATTGTCCACTGCTATCCGAGCCCTGCACGCTGTGGTTGAGGATGTACCCACATTCCAGAAATAATGAGCCTATGATGGGGCAAGCTTCCAACAAAACCAGGAAGACAGTTTTAACAGATATCACCTTCTAATTTGCTGAAGTTTGTTAAAAGTTAGAAAACAGAAAATCACATGGATTCCACTTTCGTCAAGCTCACTTCCAACTTGAAAGGGAAAAATTGTTCAGTAATTCCTGAAGAAACAAAACGGTATGTTTTTACTGAACTGAAAAACTACATTGCCGTTTTTTCCCGGTGATTGGGAACTTCCACAGAAACAAAGTATATGGCCTTTCTCATTCAATGGATATTCTTCAGTCCCTGCCATTTTTTTAACCCCTGTGGGCCGTTTTTCCAGTCAATGAAGTGTTTTATCCATCAGTATTCTTTGTATCTGTTCATACCATTTTTGGAAATCAGTCTGTGCAATATTTTAGTGCAATTTTGGATGAAAGTCTTGATATTTAATGCTTTAGACTGCTTCTCTTTTTTTTATTGTTTTATTTCATTTTTTTTAATACTTTGTGTTTATTCAACCCTATGATTCTCTTCTCGAGGGATACCAATACTCCAGCTTTTTTTCCCACCCCTCTAATCCCTTTTTTGGCCCTCGCAACTCCATTATTCAACTTTGAATTCTGTTTCCTTTGATCTTTGCCCTCTCTAGTCTCCCCAATGTTTATCCCTTGTATTTCGTCCCCCTTGCCTCAGTTCTTTGTTCACACACCCATGTTCCATCATGTCCATAAACATGTGATGTTCATCCTTTTGCCCTTTCCCTCCTTCCCTCTCTATTGCCCCCACCCCCTTCCTTCTGTGTTTCTCTATGGAGCCCTGTTTGTCGGTACATGCATATCCCACCCTTCTTCAGCCTTGTACTGGTGTTTTAAGACTTAGCCTAGTTTAGTTAAGTTTAGGATGTGTTTTAATTTTTTAAATTTTTATGGTTATTTGTAAATTTAATTCAGAGATTTTATCTATTTCTCATGGATGCCTGTAAATGGCAGGTAATCGCTGTTGGTCATCAGAAATAAATAAATAAATAAATAAATAAATAAAATAAATAAACCTGTCCCCAAATACTACATGCTAGTTTACTATTGGCAAAGGTATACTTATGTAGGCCTACATGGATTTCCTGGCATCATTTCGTAAAGCTTGATTGCAGACTTCTATTAATCCTTTTTGAAAGAGATAGGTTTACTTCCGAAGAGGCTGAATGAGGCAACATTACTAGAAGCTGTTCCTTGAAATATGTCACAGCTGTTACCATGACAGTATTGTTGCTATAAAGAAAATTTGCCAAGTTCCAACCCAGTAAGCCCATGTTGTTATACTGGGCATTTCTCTTGTCCAGATTGGCCTATCAGCACTACAGCAAAGCCTGACATGCCTGAGCAACAACGCTGATGATGTATCATTAAATCACATTGGTTGAAACCATACATGTACATGCAGCTGCAGTAGCGATCTTCCCTGCCAGTTCCCATGGTCTCTCCTTGGGAGTGAGCCAATTCCTATAGCATCCCATCAAGGCCTGATTATTATACATGTAAAGACTTCAGAAGAGCCTCAGTGAGAGGTACCAGTTTATGCCCTCTTAACAGGGTTGTTTGATTTAAATCACTCGATTTAAATCACTGATGGAATGGAAAAAAATCACCAATAAAAATCACTGTTTTTTTATTTCTTGATTTTTTCAAAGAAAAAAAACCAGTTACCAGTAGTTACTGGAGGAACTTCAAAGAAAGCCCTCATTAAGTCAAAATTGATCATTTTATGTGCAATACACATTAGGGGCCTATGTATTCTGAAGCAATTTACATATGAACATGTACTTGTTGTAGCCTATGTTAAATTTGAAGTGACGTTCCTGTACCTACACAGAATTAATTTCTTGCCCATGTGCCATTAAAATTTACTTTGCACACAGACACCTGTCCTTAGCTGTTATATAACATTCTACATTCTATGCAAATGCCCTCCCCCCCTTCACAGGCCATTGATAAAACCATTTTGTCTATGGTCAGAATAGCCACATCAGCGATAACAAAGAAACAGTTCACATGTGATATACATGTATGTCTGTGGATGTAAATAAAGTACACATGTAGTGAGCGTTGTACATGTGAATGGTACCAGTAGTTGCAATAAAAAGGATTGAGAGTGAATTTGGGGTGTTTCAAGCAAATGGTCATCATGGTTAGGCCCAACTGTTATTTATTAAAAATTCTATTGAAATAAAAAAAATCTGATTCTTTTATTTTTTTTTAAATCATGATTTTTATCAACCCTGCTCTCTTAATTCTAAAATACACTGCTGGATTGGTACTTTCCCAATAATTGTAGAAAATATTAAAATCTGATGAAAGGTTCTGCATTAATTATAAAAAGATCACAAGGAAAACTGGAGCTCACTAACCCCTGTGCACAATTTGCATGTTGCAGTGTTTCTTTGAGGCATTTTGGTTGGCATTTACGTAAATTCAAAGCCTTTTCATAGAGTGAGCAGTAGCTGATTCCATGAAACATTCCACAGTGGCTTACTCCACTTACGCCACTTTTTATTGTGTAAGTTGCACAACAAATTAAGAGCAATTTCCTGAAACTTACGCAAAACATAAATCTGCATTTGTTATGCAACAAATTATGGCACAACTTACGTAAGTTGTGCTAAACAAAGCCTCATCATTGCTGAACTTAACAAGGCTTGTATGAGAAATGTACAACTTTGGGTAGAAAGTGATGAAAAACCTTTTTGACTATGAGAGAACTGCGACATTTTCTCTCCGGTTCTGATGAAGAAAAGATGAAAAAATTTTCATTACACATGGAGTAGCCACGTAGAAGCCAAAGTTACAAATTACAAGGCCAATTGTGCAGTGATGCATGTACTACATGTACATGATGTGATGAGAATTTTAAAGTTAATATTAATTTGTATCGAAGCTACAAAAAAGTAACAACTTCACAATAAATAACAATACGTACGTAATTATGTTGCCCCTTTGAATGCCAAGGCATGCATGGTTGCCGTGATCGGCCCAAATGCATGTAGGCAGTTGCTGATTTGTCTGCGCAGGAAGCAAACCGGAATTGTTTGGTAAAAAGCAGAAAACCATTTCATCTACAATGTAAACATTTGTCAAGAAAAGCCGGAAGATGTCCTTTCTCTTGTCATATTCCTTGCTTTCAGTAAGAACATCTTTGATTTAGTGCTTATTTTCTTTGGGGTATTCATAATGGTGATGCAGGAATCTGGACAAGGCGAACATGTAGGTGATCACATCATGTACCCTGTATGCATCAACTTTTTCCAAGGTATTGGTAGGTTGGGAGCTGACTAGTAAAAAGAGCAGTGAGTGCATGCTTGTGGGAATGTCCCAAGGTTTATCAGACAGCTGTTTCATGTAATACATATATGTGAGAGATACATTCCACCTTATAAATTACAAACTTTTCTACAAGAAATTAAAAACTTGTCCTTCAGATTTTAATACCATTTAACAATAAAAAATAACAGTAACTGAAGTGACCGTTTTTATCTCCGTGATTTATTATTTAGTGCTGGTACCCAGAAACTAGTGTGCGATTAAGCGCAGTACGCTTGTCTCTAATGTGTTCCGCAAGTCTTGTAAGTCGGCATTTATAAGTCCTCTTTTCGCTTAAGTCGGAGTGTTACTGTCAGTCCCTTTTCCATGAAAAGTACAACAAAATCCTTCGCGTAAGTCATTAGAAATTTATTAAAGGCATTAAAATTCACACACTTGCGTCGACTTCTAGCGCACAACACTGTCTTGCAAGTAGTGTTGAGTTATTAAAGACACAAACTGTATGAGCACATGGACATCTATGTGGTTTAAGTGGCATGGCGCGCAATTACAGCAGCCTTACTGATTGTGATTGATTTTTTTTTTCAATTGACAAGCGCTATGGGCTTTGTATCTGGTCTGAGGAGCTCTAAGCAGAAAGGTGCAACCTGAAAAATAACAGATTTCCTGTAGCCTGTTGGCAAATTCACGAAAACGTCGTGACCCCGTAGAAAGTATTCTAAGGCTTGCCGCTGCTCGGCACGAAATCACCCAACTTTATCTGCAGCAGAATTCAAGCAACAAGACAACTCGTTGTGCTGCAGTTGCGGAAACTGGTTCGCTGTTAATTTTACATGGTTATCATGCACGCCAGTTCACGTTGATGCATTATGCATACTTTGCTGTGATTGATCACTGTGCATTCATCGCACGTCTGTATCTATTCATATTCGTATACGAGGTAAACTTAGTGCGCTAGAAATCTAGCGTAAAAGAAAAGAAAAACATAAGCTTCTGCGGACGGTTACACCAAGGCGTTCGTCCTGGTTCAGCTTATTTGCATGTTTCTTAGACTGCATGAGGTCGCTCTTCGCCTTGATTACGAGCAGC